CTTTCCCTTTCCAGCTATTAATGTTGTCACTTCATTATTGACCCATTGTGCCAAGGAACAGAATTATGCATGGGGCTACAGAAATATTGGGTCTCTGCCAAGTTAAGTTCCTACCTTCTTCAGAGAAACTGTGCTGCATTCTAATTAATTAAAGGCTAGGATGCTTTTGTTAAACATGTATTTCTTCAATGAGGCTAAAAGAGCCTTGTTGAATGCTGTCTTTTTATGAAGCATGAGATGTGTTAAATCTACATTGTCACTTTCAGTAGAAGACAATGATGCATTGTCTTATTTGATAAATGTTTATAGACAAATGTGAAATCTGGAGCAGAACGTACAGAATATATTGCTCTGGTTTCATGTTTGCTTGTTACTACTGTTTTGCTTGTGTTTTTGCTCTCACAGAATCAACAGCAAAATATCTACATGGTGGAGTCATGATCTTAAATAGAACACTCTTATAAAGGCTACTTTTGCAACTATGCCCCAGTACAATGGAAAACTTTCCACTGATGTCAGTGGGCTTTGGAGCAGACCTCAAGTAAGAAGTCACCATTGAAGCACCTCTGAATTACATTTCTGATTTTGTATTTTGCAGATTAATAGAGAAGCTGATTGCAGAATTTCTAGCTGGATCATAAACCATACCAGGATTATCTTTTTACAAAACCCTTAACCCCCTAGTTGGGTAATCAAGAGCCGCAAAGCTGCTGTCCACGTGGACTGGTGCTGAAATTTCTCGCCTGGCTGCTAGAGCCACTCCAGCTAAGCCCAGAGACATGGCAACAAATGGAACAAAAGTTGCAGATGGACAAATCTCAACTGAAGTTAGTGATGCTTCAATCACCAATGACAAACCTAAAACCTTGGTGGTAAAAGTGCAGAAGAAGAAATCAGATATTCCGGACAGAGACACCTGGAAAGGAAGATTTGACTTTCTTATGTCCTGTGTTGGTTATGCCATTGGTTTAGGGAATGTGTGGCGATTTCCATACCTTTGTGGCAAGAATGGTGGAGGTACATGTTTTATTTGAGACTTTTGGCCTGCAAAGTATTTTAAATTTGAATTTAAAATAAGAAGGGTGTCTGATAATTAAAATATATGCTTCTAGTAACTGTTGTCCTGTCTATAATGATACAAAAAATAATGTTTCTTTGCTTGTCAACAAAAGAAAAGTACCTTTATAGAGCCACTTACACCTTCCTGATACTGAGGGCATATGATACTGCTTTATGTTCTCCTATTGGTTATAGCAGCCAGGGGGTTGTCCTAATATTTGCCCATTGGCAAGTATCCTTAAAGGATCATAGAGCACCTGAGCATCATTAGAGCACCTTACACTCAGTTTTCTTCCCCATCCCTCTAGATTGAATATATCTAGATTGAATATATGAGAGAATGGAACAAGAGTGGTTTATGCCTGCTCTGAGCTTTCCCATGCTAGCATAATTTTCAGCCTGCCAGACCCAGCTGTTTTCCTGACCCTGGCCATGTCTACGCATGCACTTTACTGCAGAGTAGACTAATTAGCTGTGCTGTAAAGCATCACCATCTACATATGCAATGGTATTAGGCTGCAGTAAACTAATTTACACTGGCATAAGGTAGTACTGTTGGGGAAAGTACTGTCTTACACCGGGGTAATTTATTGCAATTAAAGGCAGATGTAGATGCTATCCATAGGTCTAAATTGTGCCCAATGAGCCCAGCCAGCTGGGAGCCAGACTCCTGCCTGCCACCTAGCCACGTGGTTTTGCACTTTCAGCACCCTTATGCCCCAGCCAGCCACTCTGCCCCCCAGCAATGCCACCTGGTGCTTAGAGCTGACCCCCTGACCTGATTCATCCTGGCTCAAATTGTTGCTGTCCTGGGCGCATGTGTAGACTTTGTGCCTGGAAGTAGTTTGGACTTAAACTAGTCCAGAGTTTATTGTTCCATATTAATTGCACTAGTTGGAAGTTGTTACTTTAACAGTAAGCAATTCAATGGTGTTAAGTGAAGTCCTTTTCACATTTACTAAGTTAGGGCTGTTAGTTTTTCAGAAGAGCAGTTGTGTATTTTAATCACTGTTTTTATAATGAAAATATTCTGCCAAAGTTAATTTGCTTTATATTTGGTGGGTAAATACTGGAAACTTAATAAAGATATAGACATAGTGATCTTCCATTGTAATGGTTCTTTCCTATGTTTATTTTAGGGGCATTC